CAGGTGGATCTCTGTGAGTTCAAGGCCAGCCTGGGCTACCAAGTGAGCTCCAGGAAAGGCGCAAAGCTACGCAGAGAAACCCTGTCTCGAAAAACCAAAACAAACAAACAAACAAACAAACAAAAACCAACAGTATAACCTCTCTCAAAGAAGGTGAAATGTAAGCACTGACGCCTGAGGTAGTCCCACCCACCCCCAATCCACAGAGTGAATGAACGATGCAATGAATATAGTTGTTGTAAATTATAGTGATGCAGATTGGTACTTTCTGTATTTCAAAGTCACAGATAATTCAGTGTTGGTCTGGTATGTCCCCTGTCAAGTACTAGTGTTTAAAGTACTTTGTGAGAAATGAAAAGTTCAGACTGGCAGTTCTCTTTGGAGGAGGCAGAAGTGAGGCAAGGGTCTAGGGATCTGAGACACATATGGTGTAGTCATAAATCAGTCTCTGCCCAGATCAGAATTAAAACAATTTTAGATGATTTTATTTCTTTAAGAATATTTTTAAATTAATTTAGTATTTATTTAATTTATGTATATGAGTGTTTAGCATGCATACATGCATGTGCACAATGTGTGGGTCTGTTGCCTGTGAAACTAAGAAGTGGACATTGGATTTCTTGAGACTGGAATTATAATGGTTGTGACCTTTATGTGGGTGCTGGAAATTGAACTTGAGTCTTCTGAAAGAGCAAAAAGTGCTATTAACTGCTGAGCTAACTCTTTAGCCCCCTGAGCATTTTTGTTGTGTTGTTTGATTTTTTAATTTATTTTTTGAGACAGAGTGTCATGTAGACCAGGCTGTCCTCAAACTGGCTGTGCAGCCAAAGCTGGTCTTGAAATCGTTGTTTTTAAAATTAAAAAATATTACTTTATATGCACATCATGTGTGTGTATGTAACATGCCAACAGTGTATGTGTGGAGGACAGGACAACACTGTGGAGTCCTTTCTCTCCTCCCACCTTTATGTGGATTCTAAAGATAGAACTCAGGCTGTCACCTCTGAGCCAAAGTGTTTTACATACTGATCCGTTCTGCTGGCCCTGGCCTTTGAATTCTGGATCCTGTAAACTCCACTTTGCTAGTGCTAGGATTACTGTGTGAGCTACCATGTCTGGATGGCTGTTTAATTTTGTTTTATTCGTTCAACAAGGTTCCACTCTCTAGCCCAGGCTGCCTGGAACTCACTATACATCCCAGACTTACTTTGAATTCAGGACAATTCTACCCCAGCCTCCCAAGTGCTGGGGAAAATGCCGTGAGCCACCATTCCTGGTGACTTTGTTTCTAGAGACCAGTCTCATGTCTCATTGTGTTGCCCAGTCTGGCTGTGAACTCAGGAAGTAGTGCTAAACTGGCCTTGAATGCAGGAAGTGGAGCTAGGCTGGCCTTGAACTGGGCCTCCTAGGCTGGGCAGGCACGCATCACCAAGCCCGTGTTGCGTATGTGTTTGCTTTCCTGTGCTGGCGGTCAAGCCAGTAACCTTCCCACTGGTCAGGCGTGCATCCTTCCCCTGGGCTGCTCCTCCAGTCTCAGACCTGAGTACTGACACTTCTTTTCCAAAACAGCCTCTCACTGTCACTGAGGCCAATGTCACACAGCAGAACCAGAGTGAACTATGGCAGCAGCCAGACATTGGTTCACACCGTAGTGATACCATGAGCAGTTCATCTGGACTTTATTTTATTCTAAGCTTCATTCTCCTGCTCTGGTGAGTGCACAGAATAACACCTCCACTGGAAGAGATGCTAAGATAAGAAAATACAGTATATAAAAGGAGGATTACACCCCACCCCAATTTCCACTACTGTCTCCTCTAAAGGAAAGCATACGGCTGGGCTCTGTTTCCTCTACTTTGGAGGGATCTGGAATTGGATTAGAGAAAGGACTGCTGGAAAGGGGTGTGAGAAGAAAAAGATTGCAAAGAAAGTCCTGGGTTCTCCTGCGATCACAGAACAGGGTTCAGTTTGGGAAACTCAGGACTCCAAGGATAGATCAGAGGGCAAAGCAGGAGGAATACAGTGGGAGCCAGCCTTGGGGTCAATTGGGAACAAGCACTGAGGGTGAAGACCCACTGTCCGGCTGCTCTCTCGGCCCTGATGCCTTCCTATGTTGAGAGAATACAAAACACTGGGTTCTGCTCTGTTCTTTATACCTCTTACTTGGGAGTGAGAAAAGCCTTTTATTTATTTATTTATTTATTTATTTATTTATCTATTTATTTATTTAATTTTAAAGCTGGCTTGTGTCTCCACCCTACTTTCTGGAACCTAATGCTCACACCTGAACTGTCTGAGGGATATGGTCTCTTAAGGAATATGAAAATTCTAGGCTAGCAGCAACCCTCACTTGATGACCCCAATCACAGAACAATTTTCTTTTACTTATTTATGTGGTCAGGAAGCACACCATGAGAAGTTCGCTCTCCTCAACCATTATGGAAGAGTTCCCCAAGAGGAAACGAGTTGGCCAAGGCTCTCTTGTCTTCTTTCCTCCCTCTTTCCCACTGCACTTTCTGCCCTAGGGAGTGTTAGACTGCTCTTGGAGCCCAGAGGGCTAGGTCGTGGACCAGCCGCTCCGAGATGACGTAATGCTTTCTGTGGTACACAAAGCGGCCTCCCCCAGGCTGGGCCTCTCTCGCCCCTCCCCCCAGCCAGGAATGCCGCCCCCGCCAGCACCAGCACGGGTGAGTCCCCCTTTTTGAAAAGCCAGACCAGGGAAACAGGGAACAAAGGCCCCGGAAGGAGCGCCTAGGCACTGCCAGGAGGCTCAGAAATAGACATCACGTCATCTCTCCACCCGGCGGCGCCAAGCGCCATTTGGTAACACCGGGAAGGAAGGACCTGACCATTACGGTGCAGAACGAAGCTTGCAGGGCTAGCGTTTCACCCCAGCCCTAGCAACCCTCTGACCGGCTTAAGGAGTGGCTTCCCTTCTGCTCCCAACCCCCGCACCCTTCTTTCCCTGGAGGCCTCCGCCTCCCTTGGCTGCCAGCCACACAGCCCATAGTCTCCACGCTGCCATCTTGATGCCCCATCCCCCTTGCCACTTCCCTCTCCTGCAGCCCTCAGAAGTAGGAGGGGGAGGAAGGGGCACCGCCCTGCGTGCCCCAAGGGGGAGGGCTCGGCCTACCCCACCTCTCTTCCTCCAGAAGGAGGGGTTCACATCCTCCGCGTGCTTGCCGCTTCTCACCTCCAGCCGTGCTGACAGTGCACCATGGAGGGTTGGCGGTCAAGGATTTAGCATCCTGGGCTTGCCTACCCTCGGTGGCACTCTGGCCTCACCAGCCCCTGCAGCCCGCAGCTGCAATCCAGGCGCTGGCCACTGCGTTCTACTCACTCACCACCTCAGGCCCGAGTCTAGCAGGGCTGGCAATTAAAGGATCCCATCTGGACTTCACTCCCCGCCCATTCCTCAGCTATCCGGCTTTGCGCCGGCCTGATGGCTTAAAAGAATCAGTCGGTCAGACTCTACTTACCAAAGCTGGGGCGTATATTTGTGATCTCAGCCATGTTGTAATCAGAGGCTGCTGATAGCAACACTTTTGCAGAGGTCAGACAACTTTGGGGATCTCGGTCAGTACCGAGGCCGCGGCTGTAGACCTCCGGATCAGGGGAGGGGAAGGTGCCTGGCAGACTGCCCCTGCGACAGTCCGATCCCTGGTTGCTAGCTGCGCGTTCCTCTTAGATGCTCCAGGGATGCTCTGAGCTAAGGATGCAGGTGCAGTCCGACTGGTCCTGATGCGAGGTAGGCTCCGCCTCTTTCCGAAGGGCCCTCGGCAGAAGACTCCGCCTCTGCCCGAAAGGTTCCGGAAGCTCTTCGAGAGGAAGCCACTCCCACTGCCGATTTTTCTCCAGGACGAGGCTCCGCCCATTCACAGGCTGTGGGCGTTGGGACTGGAATTTCAAAGCCAGTAAGAAGTGTAGGTGTTGTGCTAGTTCAGTCGCATATTCCTGTGACTGTAGCACTGGAGTGGGTGAGGCAGGAGAGTCAAGGAAGGCTTGGCTAGGCCTCCAAATACAGAAGGGCAGGAAGAGGATCGCTTTAGCGTCCACGGAAGCTGTGATTCTAGTTGCCTGGGTTTATGCAGAGGGAAGCTGAACCTTCTGCGTTCCAGATGTTGTGAAAAACAAAACTCTATACTGTTTCAGTATTGATTGCTGCTGTTTTAGTGCATTCCTGAAACAGTAAAGGCAATTACGGAGCCTTAAACTTGAGAAAATGATTAAAAATAAAAATAAAATGGACAGAAGCAGGAGTTAAAGACCAGTCTGAGGGGTACAGCAAGACCCTGCGTCAAAAAAATCAAAACTATAACAAAAGACCTAAAATCCTAAAAAATGTGGTTGTGTTCACATTTAATCACAGCACTGGGAATTAAAAAAAAGAAAAAAGAAAAATCCACAAATATGCCCAAACATGAGGCAAGTTATTGTGCACTGGGTCAATGCATAAGAACCTGGGATTGGAATACCAGATACTTCACTTGTGTTGATAACTGGGTACTTTTGTGAGCTCATCTACTCATCAGGGCCAGAATCTGCCAAATGGAAAAAGTGATAAAAATATCCATTGGTCTACAGGATTTTTCTTGGAGGACCAAATCCCCTAAGATAATGTGAGGACATTTTGCACAATGAAGAACATCATGTAGATATGAGTAACTGCCACACCTTGGGATCAAGTCTGCCTTTGGTTTTTATAATCTAGAGTACCGTTCTAAATTTTAGGAATTCTTCTTTTCTTCCTATGTTCCAGGTATTTTGTGGGGAGGTTGATTAGTTGTCAACTTCAACCATGGACTCCCAACACCCAGTTGTGAGTTGGATAGATTACTAAAGATAGAGAAAGCTACGAAGCTTTCTTCCTTCCTCCTTTCCTTCCCTGTTACCTTCCTTTCTTTCCTTTTTTGAGACAGGGTTTCTCTGTGTGGCCCTGGCTGTGCTGGAACTCACCCTGCAGACCAGGCTGGCTGTGAACTCAGAACTCACAGATATGCCTGTCTTGACCTCCTGCGTTGCTGGGATTGAAGGCATGCAGCACTACCCCCGGCAGGGAAGTGCCTTTGGCGTGTTTATTTATAGACAAGACAGCGTGTGTTCAGAATAGCTTTGAACTGTTGGTATTCCTGCCTCCACGTCCCAACTCCCAAGTGCTGACATTATAGGTGTTTACCACCACACTGGGTTTATTTAGCGTTGGGATTCCACCATGCAAGGGAAGCTCTCTACTAAGTTACATCTTTCATTACCTACCTACCTACCTCTCTGCCGAACTACCTGGTGCCTGCGTGCCTGCTAGCCCGCCGACTTACCATCACCTATTTACCTTCCATCTGTATCTATCATGGGTTCTGTCACTTTTTCCCTTAACTGACGTATTAGCCCTGAGGCTTCAAGACGCCCTAAAACAAGATGGCGCCTATGGTTGTGCGCATGCTCCTTGACGTCCAACTTCCGCGCTCCGGGGGCGCGCACGTCCGGCGGTGCCGTTGCCTTACTTCCGCTGGTGCGGAGCGGAGTTTCCGCGGAATCGGCCCGCGTCCGAGGGTACTGTGCAGTGTGTGGCGGGGCGGGAAGAGGCGCGTTAGACGTGGGGCTCCGGGCGGAGGCCGGCCAGGACGAGGGGCGTCTGCTCCGAGGCTGGGAGCGCGGAGCGTGCAGGGAATCGGGCCGCAGGGGTGCGGGTGGCGGTGCGGACTTGGGCAGGTGTTGAGCGCTGAGGAGCGCGCAGCGAGGCGGCCCCTGACATGTTTTTCCGGA